CTCTGTGGAACCCAGGTGTTGTCCAGGTGTAACACCATGCGGGAGTGCGTGAGCTGGGTGCCGTCCCGGTGTTGTGCATTTTGCGCCAGGTGTTGTCCCGATGTGTCACCTCTTTGTGGCTCAGGTGTGTGCCTGTCACACCCATGCACCACCCAGATGCTGCCGCCTCTGGCTGACGATTTCCCTCCTCCTGTCCACGGGGACAGGCGGGGATGCACGCGCACGCCACACGACACGCGTGTTGCTGCCCACGCGTGTCCGCGCACACACGCCTGACACAGGTGTTGCTCGGCGGGTTTATTACTGTTCCCATCATAACGCAGCCTCTGCGAGGGCACATCCTTCTGTGGGGTTGGGGTGAGGGCTGCCAGGAAAGCCCCCTGCCCCAAATGTCCCAGGTGTCACCCGCTCACGACCCGCAGACATACACCCGCTCCTCCGTGGTCCGGGGCGCGTTGGGGGGTGCTGAGAGGGTCTTGTGGGGTGGCAGCGGACTCCGGGGGGCCTCGGGGGTCTGTGGCGGGGTGCCAGCAGTCTCAGGGGGCCCCTCGGTGGCCTCGAAGTGGTCGACACGGAAAGCCCAGCGGCCCGGGACCCCCAGGTTGCTGCGGCGGCCGAGGCTCTGCACGGCGGGCGTGCGTGAGCCTGGCACGTTGTAGTAGTGGACATCGTCTCCACTGTTGAACCCGGCCTGCAGGGGGGAAAGGTGAGGCAACAGGGGAACAGGGGGATGGGAGAGGGTGAGGGATAATTCTGCCCAAATTCCCATTGAATTGTACCAAAAATGAGCCGCATTTTACCCCAAATGCACTTCACCTAAAACACCTCTGTTTCCAGACCAGATCTCCCTGATTTCACTACAAATTCCCTTAAAAATTCCCTTAAATCCTACTTAAAGTCCCCCTAATTTCACCCCAAGTCCCTTTAATTCCACCCAAACCTCCTCCATTCCACCCCAAAAGCCCAGAATCCCTCCTAGCTTTACCCCCCTCACGCCCAGAATCCCTCCTGGCCGGGTGTCCCCCATCCCGCGGACTGTCCTCGTCTGCCCGGCGATGTCCCCACGCCCAGTGTCCCCTGTCCCCCTCCGTGTCTCCACCTGTGCGGGGGTGCCCCCCAGGCCGGTGTGGGGGTCCCCCTGGTTAGCGATGCCCGTCGTCCACTGCAGCTCTCCGTAGTTGAGCAGCACAAAGCACGTGGCACCGTCTGAGGCCAGCACGGCCTGGAAGGTGTTCACCTGCAGGGCGACATCGCTGCCACGTCACCGCGACCGCCCAGCTGCGTTTCCATCCCCGTGCCCCCAAACCATGGGCGCCACGATGGTCGGGGGACACCACTGTTGGAGGCCAAGACGCGTGAGCCCTCCCCACCTTGTCCGAGGCGGACCCAAAATAGGCCACACGGTGCCAGGTGGCCACGAACGCCCAGGTGGGCTGTGGAGGGGGGTCCCCGGGTGGCACGGCCGGCGCCAGGTCCCGGGCCAGGCGCGCCAGCAGCCGTGGGTCGCGGCTCTGCCGGTAGAAGACGTCTCCTCCCAGCCGCGTGTCCACGTCAGCCCAGTACGGCGCCACGAAGGGGCGGCGGCCCGGCAGCGGGAAGGGCTGGGGGGTGAACTCGGGCACCATCGTCCCGAAGGACACCACGCCGTTGTTGTTCACCTGCAGGCAAAGGTCACCCATGGGACACGGCGGGGTGGCATCAACCACAGTGACCCTCCGCGACAGCCCCAGGTACGGCGTCTCCATCGTGGAGGTCTCAACTATGGTGATCCCCAACTGTGGTGATCCCCAACTACGGTGATCCTCAACTATGGTGACGCCCAACTATGGTGATCCCCAACTACGGTGATCCCCAACTATGGTGATCCCCAACTATGGAGATCCCCAACTACGGTGATCCCCAACTATGGTGATCCCCAACTATGATGATCCCCAGCTATGGTGATCCCCAACTATGGTGATCCCCAACTACGGTGATCCCCAACTGTGGTGATCCCCAACTGTGGTGATCCCCAACTGTGGTGATCCCCAGCTATGGTGATCCCCAACTGTGGTGATCCCAAACTATGGTGATCCCCAACTATGGTGATCCCCAACTACGGTGATCCCCAACTACGGTGATCCCCAGCTATGGTGATCCCCAGCTATGGTGATCCCCAACTACGGTGATCCCCAACTGTGGTGATCCCCAACTATGGTGTTCCCCAACNGAGGAGGAGGAGGAGGAGGAGGAGGAGGAGGAGATTATATCAGCTCTGGTGGCTGCATCCAACTTGTCACCCTCCCCCTGGGGTCACCCTCCACCTGTGTCACCCACCAAACGCCACCTCCCCCCTGTCCCCCCAGCCACACGACCAACATAGAGCGAGCGGTGGGCGCGCCCAAAGAAGGAGAAGTTCTCCTGGAGGAAGATCTCAGGGCTCGTCCCGTCGTCCTCGTGGAGGGTGGCCTCATCCCCCACCTCCGGTCCAAAGGGGTACAGGACGCTGCCTGGGGGGGGGACACACAGCTGTCACACGCCTGGGACACGCAGGATGCCACCTGGGGAATGTCGGAACCCAGGACATCTCTCTGGATATCTCACAGCCCTGGCAGGAAGCCAAAGACACCTGGAAATTCCATCTTAATTCATGGAGCAAATTGCCAACCTGACATGAAGAGTTACGGGCCACAAAAGTTTAAGTAGCAATCACAGGGCGAAGGGAAAAATTTTTGGAGCACTGTACAGGGGGGGTTTGAACCTTGTCCAGGGGGGTTTGGAATCCTGTACGTGGGGGTCAGGGGTTCTAAGATGGAGGGATTTGGGCGTGCCCCATCCTCCTTCTTTCTTCTCCTTGGCATCCATGTTCAGGATGATGTTGGCACGTGTGGGTTGGTTCATGGTGAAGGTGCACTTGCCAGCAAGGGCGAAAAGTATTGGGAATAGAAGGTAAATATACGTAATTTTCACTATAAAAGAGACAACCGCCCCGTGGGCGGGAGAGAGTGCCCTTGGCTGTCTTGCTGATCAGACCTCGGCTGGACAGACACAAAATCTTTGTAGAAAAGGAATAATAAACTCAACTGAAGACCAAAAGCAAGAGTCCAGACTCCTTCTTCAAAGCTCGGCCTGCCCAAAACCACCTCTTCCCGTGCTGGGGCAGAGACGAGTGACACTCCTGAGACCTCCCGGTGTTGGACCGGCCCCACTATGGGCCTGGGACTCCCAGTACCACTCCAGACCCTCCCAGTACGGGGCTGGCACCTCCCCAGCACCAGCCTGGAACCCCAGACTCACCCGGGGGTCCCACAGGGGTACCCAGTGTCCCCAGGGGTCCCCACTGCTCCGCGTGGCTGAGGAGGAGGAGGACGATGGCGGGGGAGACCTTCATGGGCCTGGGGGAGAGGGAGGGGATCCCCCATCAACCACGTCCCCGCGTCCCCCCGTGTCCCAAGGTCCCCGGTATCCCCAGTGTCCCCCATTGCCCCAGTGTCCCCAGTGTCCCCATGTCCCCAGTGTCCCCAGTGTCCCCCGTGTCCCCAGTGTCCCCAGTGTCCCCGGTGTCCCCAGTGTCCCCGGTGTCCCCAGTGCCCCCAGTGCCCCCCGTGCCCCCAGTGTCCCCAGTACCCCCAGTGTCCCCAGTGTCCCCACTCACTGCGCTCCCATGGTCCCAGTCTGTCCCAGTGCTGCCACTGGAGCCGCTTTATGCCCAGGGAGGGGACAGGCCGGGGGTGGGGGCTGGCAGGGGACACCCCCGGGTGGCACCTCCCAGGGCCCCAGGCAGTTCCTCCTCTGCCCAGACCGCAACTGGGACGGACTGGGACGGACTGGGACGGACTGGGATGGACTGGGATGTACCCCCCAGTGTCCCCATGTCCCCAGTGCCCCCAGTGTCCCCATGTCCCCAGTGCCCCCAGTGTCCCCATGTCCCCAGTGCCCCCAGTGTCCCCATGTCCCCAGTGCCCCCAGTGTCCCCATGTCCCCAGTGCCCCCAGTGTCCCCATGTCCCCAGTGCCCCCAGTGTCCCCATGTCCCCAGTGCCCCCAGTGTCCCCATGTCCCCAGTGCCCCCAGTGTCCCCATGTCCCCAGTGCCCCCAGTGTCCCCATGTCCCCAGTGCCCCCAGTGTCCCCATGTCCCCAGTGCCCCCAGTGTCCCCATGTCCCCAGTGCCCCCAGTGTCCCCATGTCCCCAGTGCCCCCAGTGTCCCCATGTCCCCAGTGCCCCCAGTGTCCCCATGTCCCCAGTGCCCCCAGTGTCCCCATGTCCCCAGTGCCCCCAGTGTCCCCATGTCCCCAGTGCCCCCAGTGTCCCCATGTCCCCAGTGCCCCCAGTGTCCCCATGTCCCCAGTGCCCCCAGTGTCCCCATGTCCCCAGTGCCCCCAGTGTCCCCATGTCCCCAGTGCCCCCAGTGTCCCCATGTCCCCAGTGCCCCCAGTGTCCCCATGTCCCCAGTGCCCCCAGTGTCCCCATGTCCCCAGTGCCCCCAGTGTCCCCATGTCCCCAGTGCCCCCAGTGTCCCCATGTCCCCAGTGCCCCCAGTGTCCCCATGTCCCCAGTGCCCCCAGTGTCCCCATGTCCCCAGTGCCCCCAGTGTCCCCATGTCCCCAGTGCCCCCAGTGTCCCCATGTCCCCAGTGCCCCCAGTGTCCCCATGTCCCCAGTGCCCCCAGTGTCCCCATGTCCCCAGTGCCCCCAGTGTCCCCATGTCCCCAGTGCCCCCAGTGTCCCCATGTCCCCAGTGCCCCCAGTGTCCCCATGTCCCCAGTGCCCCCAGTGTCCCCATGTCCCCAGTGCCCCCAGTGTCCCCATGTCCCCAGTGCCCCCAGTGTCCCCATGTCCCCAGTGCCCCCAGTGTCCCCATGTCCCCAGTGCCCCCAGTGTCCCCATGTCCCCAGTGCCCCCAGTGTCCCAGTGCCCCCCGTGCCCCCAGTGTCCCCATGTCCCCAGTGTCCCCAGTGCCCCCAGTGTCCCCAGTGTCCCCAATGTCCCCAGTGCCCCCAGTGACCCCAGTGTCTCCAGTTCCCCCAGTGTCCCCAGTGTCCCCATGTCCCAGTGTCCCCAGTGTCCCCAGTGCCCCCAGTGTCCCCAGTGCCCCCAGTGTCCCCATGTCCCCAGTGCCCCCAGTGTCCCCATGTCCCCAGTGTCCCCACTCACTGCGCTCCCATGGTCCCAGTCTGTCCCAGTGCTGCCACTGGAGCCGCTTTATGCCCAGGGAGGGGACAGGCCGGGGGTGGGGGCTGGCAGGGGACACCCCCGGGTGGCACCTCCCAGGGCCCCAGGCAGTTCCTCCTCTGCCCAGACCGCAACTGGGACGGACTGGGACGGACTGGGACGGACTGGGATGGACTGGGATGTACTGGGGGTGGCTGGAACGTTCTGGAAGACACTGGGAATGCTGGAGGGGCGCTGGGGAGGGGAACTGGGAGGGACTGGGAGGCACTGGGGGGATGCTGGAACATACTGGGGGGGACACTGAGCGACACTGGGATGCAGGAGGAGGGACTGGGACAAACTGGGAGGGATTTGGGAACACCACGGGGAATAGTGGGAGAGCACTGGGATGCACTGGGAGGGACTGGGGGACACTGGGGGGATACTGGGGGGGGCTGGAAGAGACTGGGAGGGTGGGGGGGTGTACTGGGAGGGACTGGGGGACAGCAGGAGGCACACTGGGGCGGACTGGGATGCACTGCTAGGCACTGGGGGTACACTGGGGGTACACTGGGGCAGACTGGGAGGCACTGGGAGGCACTGGGAGGCACTGGGAGGCACTGGGAGGCACTGGGCACACCGGCCGGCGCGGGGCCAGCCCCAGGCGAGGCGCGGCACGCTCCCCCCCGGGGGCACTCGGATGTCCGGGTGCCCCCTGCCCTGCCCCAAAGATCCGGGTGCGCCCCCGCCCCGCCCTGCCCTCCCCGTGGGCCTGGGGAAATATTGACCGAGGTGGTGGAGGGGAACACCCCTCCCCCACCCCCAAAACCCTGGAATTCCCGGGATTTTATCCCCCACCGCCGCTTTCCTGCCAGCTTTTATTTTGGGGGGCCGAAAGCGGAGTTTTGGGGCTGGCAAAAATCCGGGTGTTCCGGATCTGAGGGTGTTTGAGGATGACGTCGGCGGCAGGGCGCGGGCACCCCGGCGAAATGTCAATTTTCCACATCACTGGG